AAGGAAATCCTCAGTTAAACGTCAGTGAGCCTCAACTTAAAACCCTTGAACCTTCAGCTGGCCGTCCTTATTCAGTCCAATCTCTACAGGGAACTGGCCTGTGTGCTTGCTTGTCAGCCTGGAGCTGAATCCCTTCTCCCTATTCTGGATGCTCAATCACAGTTGCATGGCAGGGAAGCTTCTTAAAGGCCCTCACTCGTTTCTTCTTGTCGTAACCATCAGTGATCCCTTGGACAGTGGTAAGAAGCTTCCTGTGGTTGCGCTGTTGAATTCTTACATGGATCTAATCCTCCGTGGCTGCAGGAAGCAGGTCATCACCCTTCCTGGCATCAGGAAGGGGTCGAAAGACGAGGTTATGGATGGCGGGTATAGGATTCAATTTCTTTCCCTCGTGGACTGAGGAAGACAGCAGCCGGTGGGAGAAGTCGGGCGGCGCGGAGGCGAATACCGTACAGGGGTCTGAAACTCAGTAACTGGGACCCGCTTCTACTTGTAAAGCCTATTTTCTCTGATATTTACACAGATATCCAGCCTTCTGGCTATAAAACTGCATTTTAGGTTATTTTCATTTTAAAAGTTTAAAAATAAAATTTAACTGTTCATTTAACCTCCTTTAATTTTTTGAAACATTGATTTATGCTCTTTAGTCCAATTGTACAATGTTATATTAATTCACTTTTTGTCTTTTTGTACTAATATTTGGTGGCTATATCTTATTTCATCCATTAACTTTCCATCTTTGGGTGTTTTTTTGCTATGGAGTGTGTCCCTTGTAAATTACAAGTACCTGGGTGTTTTTTGCTTGTTTGTTTAATTCAATTTGTCAAACTTGTAACTGGGGACTTCGGTCTATTAATATTGATTACTATTATTGAAGATTTATCCTGCTTGTGTCCATCTTAGCTTATTTCAATGTGTCCCATTTCTCTATTAATTATGAATCCTTTTTAAGATTGTTGTAGCCTTTGATCTTTCTTCCCCATATCCCATCATGTTGATGCTATCTAGACTCTAATAGTGAATCTGGCAGTTAGAAATTTTCATTTTTCTTTGATTTTTGACTTCTTAAAATAATGAATTTACCTTACCAGGATAGTTTCATCACTTTTACTTTACATTCTTTGAGATAGTTCTTTTAAACTACTCTTCTTAGTTACGTCATTCAAAATATGCAACATTAATAGTATTTGTATTATAAACCTATTTAAGCATTTCACTTCTATAAATATTTTATATTATGACCTCATATGTGAATGCCACTTCAACTGGATATAAAACTCTGTATTTTACTATATTTTAATATTTTTTAAAATACTGTTTTATCTTCTTCTTTAGTCCAATGGAAAAATGCATATTAATTCAATTTTGGCTTCTTTGTACATAATCTCTTCCTTCAGATTTGCAGAGTTGTCCCTTGTTGGGGTTATTCTTAAATTTCACCACACTGTGTCTGGGGGTAGATCTTTCTTTCTTCCTTGTCATTCTACAGAACAGTGTTTCCCCGAGTGGGTGATGGCATCCCCTGGGGAGGCTGGAATGATCTGGGAGCTGCAAAGGCAATACCTACACTTTATCCTGGATCATGGGCTGTTGAACAAAGGTTTCTACCTGCCACATGTGCGGAGTGGTTCTTTTCTCTGAAAAGGGTGCAGTGGGCCAAATATGTTTGGGAACCTGTGCTATGGGATTTCTGATTTTTAAATTAAAATAAATAAAATAAAGATTTAGTGCAAATCCTTGGAAATATCTCTCTATTATATTCTAAAATATGCCCCCTTTCTATTTGCATTTTTCTCTCCATTTGAGGCTTCTAGGAACTGTATTTTAGTTTTTATAATTCTGCATTTCATATTAATTGGGTTTTCTTTAGTACGTTCTATTTCTCGGGCCCTTCTTTTATCCTTCTGGCCAGTTTGTTGTGATCTGACATGATAGTCCACTGATCCCTTTCTTAAGGAGTGCTTGTGGTGCAGCCTTGGTTCAAAACCACCAGCTTTCTACTCCCATGAAGAGTCCCAGTCTCAGAAATCCACAGGTGCCGCTCTCCCTGCCCTACCGCGTCGTGATGGGTTGGCTTCAAATCCGTGACAGTGAGCTTTGGGCTTCCTCCCTTTTGCCGTGTGTCCATTCTAGTTATCTCTATTTAAGGTCTTCTCCTTTTCACACCTTCTAATTCTGCTCAGCTCGGTTTATGGGTCCTCCTTGCTTCCCATCTTAAAGTATCTTTCCTTCTTCCCTCGAGAAGCTTATTGAGAAAATTTAAGAATCTAGATCACGACTTCCATTTCTTTGCTTTTGTTATTTTCACTTAAGAACTCATTTTCCTCAGGATGCACGGGCTCCTGTCACAGGAAATGTGTCTTCTGTGGGAAGGTCAGACCACAGTCAGTGCTAAGGGCCTCAGGAGCCGAAGTTTGAAGAAACCACGTGGGGAAATGTCTCAGCCCACAGGGAAGCATCGTCATTTACTCCTCATTTCACAGCAACTTCAACTTCTTAGGTTAAGAATTTACTTTATCTTTCTACTGGAAAGAACCTCTGTCACACACACACACACAGACACACACACACATTTAATGTATCCTTCAAGTTTGAAAGTCCTGGTGGTGCTGTTGGGAAACATTGGACCACCAGTGTTCCAGCCCACCAGCTGCTCCGCTGGAGAAAGACGAGGCTTTCTGTGCTGGTGAAGATGTGCAGCCTCAGAAGACCAAGATAGGGCTCCTATGAGCTGGAATCAACTCTGCGGCAGTGGATAAAGAACGTCTCAGAGTTTGTCGCTAATAATAATAGATTTCCATATTGTAATAGTGAGGATTTTGTTTCATTGAAGATATAATCTGCTAGGGTACTTTTTTTAAGCATCGTAATAAATTTCTTCATAACTTGTCTATCAGAGTTGCCTCCTAATCTACGAAAGACAGTTAAGGCTTAGTTCTTAGCTATCTAAGTAAAAACACAGTAGATATGCTTCTGCTTTGTTAGCCCTTTGGATGGGTATGTGGTTTTTAAATATTCACTAACATTTTACTGTATGATCCCTTAATTGCGAGAAGAAAAAAGGCACCTTAGACTGTACGAAGGGTCTTACATACTCTGAAACTGAAACCAATTGCCTAATCATATTAAAAAAATGATTAGCCATTTACATGAAATCGAGTAGTAGCTGCAACATAAAATCAAGTAGGATATTAATCATTGAGGCTTAGGGCATATATTAACCAATAAGCAAGGTCAGAGGAAAATGTAACATAGCGAGAGTCCAGCAGGACTAGATTAATTATCTGAATGTCAGCCCCAGTTCTGAAGCATAGTGCCTCGGCGGTTCCAGTATGACCAGGTGACATGGACCCGGTGAAGGCTGTATAGTTAGGACGCTATCACTTTATTGTTGCAGGCTCTGTGCGGCGTGGCTCCCTTTCTTCTCTGACATTTGTGCAATTCGCCCGTCTGCATTGAAATCCATCTGAATTCACGCTCTTCAGAGGAGATGCGCCCTCTCCCTCGTGTCTTCCCCCTCACTCCCGTCTTTGTGTTCAGGGCGCCCATTATGTTTCTCAAAGGCACAGTGGAAAGTACAATTCAGGTTGGTGATGCCTCCGCATATAACCAACAGGCTTTTCAAAAATGATCTTGGAAAGTTTTATTCTGAAAAATAAGACTAAATGACTCACATCTTAAGGAACTGTCAGGGTTTTTTTTTTCTTCCTCTTCCTAGTTGTACTTTTTTGTGACTAACACATATTATCTCTCCAGGTTAGATGAACTTTGTTCCTACATGCTGAGAAGGAAATTAAGAAGGAATGCATGCCTGACTTAAGTAATTCCCTTCTAAGATCCACAAAGCAGAAATGGGTTTACACTAGTACATTCAGATCCTAGAGCTCAGGAGCCCGAAGAGAGCCAATAATAAAGAGAATCAATATGTGGAAACACATCACAATGCAGCATATGCACATAGACTGATACACTGGTTTCCACTGTGCTTTAAGTTTTATTTTCCTTCAGAATTATATAATACCACATAGAGTTTTGCATCTTATTATATCAGGAACTAATTTGTTCTTTCTTCACATTTACTTTTAGTTTGATCTTATAAGTGTTATAAAAATGTTCCTCAGTTTGAATTGAAGTTTTGCAGGAGGTGGGAATGTTGAGTTAGATTCTCTGTAACAATATGGTGATGGTTTTGTTTAATCACATATACTGTTCCTCTTTGTCAAGAGAGAAAGAAGTAGACACTTATTCAGTTCTTGGTATATTTGTCTAGAAATGGAATATAGCAACTTAGAATGGAAATGCTTTTAAGTCTCTAAATCCTATGTCTTAAATCTAGCTCTTCTATAAGAATGAATGTTACCTTGAATTATGAATATACTTTCCCCGGATGATAAAAATCAATAGGCATAATTTGAATAATGACTGATGGAATTTTGAATTGTGTTTAAAGCACTTCAACTTTACATGTCATTGTTCCCAAGGAGCACTTTAAGAATTACATTGTTCTCATAATTGGCTGTACCCATATCCACTAGATGCAGCAGTGGTTTTAAAACATTTTTGGTTACCCACTGATATGCTTATAATATTCTAGAAACGTGAGTGTTCAGTGAGAAAAAAGTATGCCTTCCAGGAAGAAAAGAAGGTTCCACTTAACTGTTTAAACCATCTTGTAACTGTGAGTTTCTAGTATCGGTGATGGTATTACAAAGATTTCTGAAATGTTCCATTATTATATTTACCTTGTGGTATGTGCTGAGCTTTCCAGCTTTGCTTATGTGTATACTGATTGTTTCCAAAATTATATTTTAACAGCACTTATTGAATCACCAGGTCATATTTAGGATCAAGCGTTCACAACTTTTCAAATATCAATCAGAATTTTCCATCATGAGTGACCTTTTTGTGTAAATACAAATAAATAGCCTTATCCAAAATACCCAATCCCCAAGCATTCCATGATATCCTTAAAAAATAACCAATGCATACCCGTTTCCTTTTTAATAGTTAAATACCACATCGCAATTTATCATTAATAAAGTAAAAACCTTTAAATGGAAATATAAAATAAAATAACTAGATCTGTCAATGGGTATAGAAAGTCAATTGATTCTTTTCTTCCTTTTCCTGCTCCAGTTATCCGGAAGTATTTTGGATGTGTATAGCAGTGAGCAAGGGATCGCAGCAGATAATATGGGACTTACAAGTGCTTCCTGTCCAAGCAGTCTCCCAATGAAGAGAGAAATTACAGGTAGTGCTGCTAGTCTGGCCTTTTGAGATAAGTTACCCTGAATCATCAATCTCGGATATCTTGATACATTATCAAAATAGTTAAAATAGGATATATTAGTGAGAAAACCAATCAGCTTTCTCTTTAACAACCAGACAATATTAATATGACTTACAGTTTAATTAAATGTACTTATTTTAGGAATTGAGTATATGTACACGTAGGCTCTATCACTACTTGACTGAATCCTTCACTGGCCATAGGCTCATTTTGCTTTGGAATAGATGCGATTTATTAACATGGTTATAAAATTGTAGTTGAAATCAAGCAAAATAAGTCTTTTTTGGGGCATAAAATTTGATAAGATAAACAATTACATTTGTTTCTCCTTAGCTTGATTTATGGATTTCATAGCAGATGTGTATATAACACCCTCAAAAGCAGTATTTTTCAATAGTTTATCTAAAATTTACTAAAAATGGAAAGCACTATGGGGACATGGTATAGATTAGAAAATAAAGGGACAAAGAAACTAAAACATCACACAGCTCATTAGTGACCAAATTGGATCAAAGTAAGAATTTTCTGCCATAAAATCTAGTGCAATTTCTATCATAAGATAAAATCAATGGACATTTCCATTGCAAGTTTTTATTTCAAAATAACTTATTTGTACAATTAATAATTTTAAAATTTTAGTAAACACATGATATCCATTCTTGTAGGCTGGTCAGTAATTCAAAATGTCCATTATTTACATTATTCAGACTAAAAATGCTCAGGCAAGAAATCCTATTTTAAATAAACACATGGAAAATAGATGTATTCCTGGGTTACCTTTTTAAAAATTATAGTAATTCTAAGATCTGCTATGTAACCAATAACTCAAATATTCAGCAGTTTAAACAAACAAACAAACCATTTTCTTTACTCTTACAATCTCTATGGGTCAGAAACCCAGGAAGGGCATAGTTCAGTTAGGAATTAAGGTTTCTCAGGAAGCTCGAGTAAGGATGCTGGCCAGAGATGCAAACATCTGATAGCTTGACTGGGACCGGAGGATGGTTCCCTCACAGTCTTGGCAACTGTTGATCCAAGAGACAGCAAAGAGGCAACAGGAAGATATTGAGTAACGTAGCCTTGGAAGTCACCCTAGTTACTTCCACAGGAGCCTAAGGGATATTTCGTAGGTCAGCCCCATTTGTTATGGGAAGGATCTATCCATGGTGTGAATACCGTAAATGGAGAATCATTGTGGCACGTTTAGAGGGCTCTAAATTAGGGTCTAAATTTAGGGTCACTATGAGTCGGAATCAACTTGTGGCAGTGAGTGTGGAGTTGTATGAGCATTAACAATCACACAGCGCATAGAGCGAAGCACAACTGACTAGACAAGTGTATACAGGAATGCCTAAAGAATATGTGAGAACTCTTATGATGTAGAAAATGACAGTTGACGTTTGAAATGTAGAAAATTAAGCTACTTGAGGTATTATCACTTCTGTTTGAATCTGAAACATCTGAAAAAAACATGGCTGTGTAATATTTAATATGTCTTGTATTTCTTTAAAGGGTGTTCGGGTGCTGCAGTGGTTATGGGTTGGGCCGTGATCCTTAAGGTCAGCAGTTGGAAACCTCAGGCACCCTCAGGGAGAAAGACAGGGCTTTCTACTCCTGTAAAGGATGGGTCTCAGAGACCCAAACAGGCAGTTCTTCTGGTCCTATACGATTGTCATAAGTCAACATTGACTTGACAAGAGTGAATCTGGATTTTTGTTGGGAATTTATTTTAATTATTACAACAATTCTGCCAATCTCCTTTATAGATGAATCATCTGAGGCACAGAGAAATTAGGTTATAGGTTCCAAGACTCTTGAGTAGCAAGCCAGGACACAAATCTAGGTTTAACTGACTCAAACGTCTGAAGGCTTTATTTTATCATTGTCTGTAACTGCAGAGTATTATTTTCCAAATTTTAAACTATCTGCAGGAAGAACATATTAAAGTGTTTTAGTGTAAGTAACTGTCTTTTAATGAAGTATTTCTAGATGATATGCTGAAGGGTGGTTGGGGGATTTCAGGTAGAACTAAGGACTATTTCAATTATTTTCCTTTTGATCAGACACCGACACTCGAGCACTGGCCAAGGAGAGACAAAAGAAGGACAACCACAATCTCAGTGAGTATTGACAGCTACATGTCTATGTAGATAGTTCAAACCCAACTCACGCATGTCATGGAGAATACGTGGAGGTCAAACACCCAGGGCGTCTTTTTGTCAATCCATAAGTGGTCTGAGGTTGCATGTCCCCCAACTAATTGTACATAGCCTTAAGTTAGGCTACTTTAGGAAGATTTCAACAATGCAAACTTCCAGAAGGGCTGTCTATTTCATACAGTGAACTATCTTGATTTCTCTTCTGGTTCATCCTCTCCTCAATGAGGTGTCTGTGAGGGTTCTGAGATCACTTGGTTACACTGGAACTTTCTTATACCTGTCTGACACACATGTTGAAAGATATAAATGTGACCTGAGAAAGTACACACCATCTAAATAGCGATACCCATCATCTTTCTGCTGCTCCCATCGTAATGAGATGGTAGGGGAGAAGCTTTGCTTATACTGGACGGCTGAGTTCTACCTCACAGGGCATATGGGTAAGGTGGTTTGCTCCAGTGGCTTCAGGGGGGTCAATGGGACTCTAATCACCGGTCACCTGGGATAGAGGACTGCAGGCACGGGAAGCTGTGTAAGGGAAAGGCTGAGCTTTAGACTGCTTCATCACGCTGCAATAGAGGAACCACGTCCGGTGACTTTTGAAAGTCTTTTTGTTCCGTGAATCAAAGTACAATTTGATTAAGGTCCAAATAAACAAAACTATGAAAGCCTCGCAAGAAACCACCATCCCCTTACAGGCCAGGCGTTTAAATTGATGGTACACCAACCTGTGGAACCTGCACCTGTCTGCAAAGCTTCTGCTACATTGCAAAGGAATCAGTTCGCTGACTGTGGGATTGGGGAAAGGGGGCTCATAGGTAGCTATGGAAAAAAGAAAAGGTGTCATGGCCCACCCTCTAGAGGATGGGTCTTCAAATGTGGCCCTCACAGCACCTGCAACTGAGTTCAGGGAGTTGGGACAGGAAATTCCTGGTGCAAGGACGAATTGTGGCAGGAGGTTCCCTTGTCCCATGAGGCCTTTCATGGTGAGGAGGAACATGACAATAATGACCAGGAGTGGTGCTGTCATTGGGTGCTATCGAGCTGACGCTACTCATCGGGATCCCAGATACAACAGAAAGAAACTCTGCCCGGTGCTGAGCTGTCCTCACCATTGCTACATTTGAGGCCACTGCTGCAGCCACTGTTTCAACCCATCGAACTGAGTATCTTCATCTTTTTTTCCCTGACTCTCTAGTTCATCAAACATGATGCCCTTCTCCTGGGACTGGTCCCTCCTAACAGCAAAGTATATGAGATGAGGTTCCATCCTCCAAGTTTCTAAAAAGCATTCTGTCTGTACTTCTACCAAGACGATCTTAGATCTTCTTCTAGCAGTTGATGATACTTTCAAGATTCTTCGACAGGTCCAACTCAAATGCATGAGTTCTTCTTCAGTCTACCTTCTTCAAGGTTCAACACTCACAGGCATATGATGCAATTGGCTGGGATACCATGGCTGGGATCAGTCAAACCAAAAATGGACCCTCTTAAACATGAGGTCTAGCATAGAGACCCCACTTGCCTGGATTTAAGGGAGGGACTGAATCCATACATCACATACTTTGTGAACAATGGAACCACTGATTCATTACCACATGGGATTCAAGATGAATTAGTAATTTTAAAGCATATAATGTCTTTCCAAATGATGAGTACTTGATCTGATCTCATCTGAGTTAAGGACCCCAATGGCACAGTGGTTAGGAGCTTGGCTGTTTGCTAAAAGGTTGGCAAGTCAAACTCACTCAGAGACTCTACAAGAGAAAGATCTACTGATATGTTCTGTAAAGACTACAGCCTAGGACACCCTAGGCATGTCTTCCTGGCACATAGAGTTGCTATGAGTAAAAAATTAACTTGATGGTACCTAATAACAGTAACCTCCTGGGCAACAGATGAGGTACCAAAGTTCTTATTATAATTAACCATTAAAAAGCAACCTCAAAACCTTTGTAGACTACAGTCTTAAAAGAGTTGAGGAGGCGCCACTGAGGTTAATTCAAATAATAGATTTTTAAGGAATATCATTGGACTAGATCAGCCCTCTATTTTATTTTGAGATGAAATTGTGAATTATTCTCTTGTGAATCATAACTCTTCATATTATATAGTGAATATAATAATTATTAATTGTGGCAGTTACATAATCTCATGTCAACTTGCAAGGGGGGGAGTCTAGCCTGTCAGGTTATAGCCAATGAGGTCTCTGAGTGGGCCTTACCTTCTCCTGATGATTCTGGAAACTCCTGTCTTCCTCTCTGGAGGCGGGACAAACACTCTCTCTGCTTCCTCTTCCTGCTGACAAGACATGGAGCTACACTGATGGAGTCAGGGCCCTGGAGCTGGATGAGCCACGTGGAGACCAATGCCAGTGTGGAGATGCTTCCACCGCCACTGGATCCACAAGGCTTTCCACCCACTGGCCTGTGATCTTCCTGCAATTGGTATTATTGCATAGCTGTGTGTGTCTGAAGAAGAATTTGTAGACTGGTATCGAACATATGGGCTACTGTCAGACTTATGGACTTGATCTGGACTGGGCTGGGATGTTTTCTTTATACACAATTACTTTTTATATAAAGCTCTCTTTTATTCTTCTAAAATTGATTTTATTTTTGATATAATTATATTTTAAAATGATTTTCAGTTAGAGTTAAACCTGTTTTGATATAACATGCATTCTTACTTTGTAGTTCTAGTCCACAGGCTGACAATGTCTTAACACAGCATATAAAGCTCACTCTTTTTAGCCACATACTTGACCACGTCCAGGTTCATAGTCTCTATTCTAGCAACATACATAAAGCAGTGTTTCCTATTTGTTTGTATTTTGTCTATAGCTTCTTCACAGTCTTGTAAGAACTAGTTTTTTTATTGGGGGCTTGTACAACTCTTATCACAATCTATACATACATCCATTGTGTCAAGTACATTTACATATGTTGCCATCATCATTTTCAAATCATTTTCCTTCTACTTGGGTCCTTGGTATCAACTCCTCATTTTTTCCCCCCTCTTCCCTACCCTTCCTCCCTCATGAACCCTTGATAATTTTTAAATTATTATTATTTTTCATGTCTTATACTGACCAATGCCTCTCTTCACCCACTTTTTTGTTGTCCATTCCCCAGGGAGGGGGTTATATGTAGATCATTGTGATTGGTTCCCCCTTTCTCCCCACACCTTCCCCTACCTGCCTGGTATCACTACTCTCATTCTCTCATTATTGGGCCTGGTGGGTCTATCTGTCCTGGATTTACTGTGTTTCCAGCTCTTATTTGTACCAGTGTATATGAGCTGTTCTAGCTGGATATGCAAGGTAGAATTGGGGTCATGATAGTGGGGGTGGGGAGGGAGCATTAACGAACTAAAGGAAAGTTGAATGTTTAGTCATTGCTATACTGCACCCTCATTGGCTCATCTCTTCCTTATGACCCTTCTGTAGGGGGATGTCCAATTGTCTACAGATAAGCTTTGGGTCTCCACTCCGCAACCCTAATCATTCCCATTGATACGTTTTTTAGTTCTGGGTCTTTGATGCCTGATACCTGATCTGATCAACACCTCATGAACATACAGGCTGGCGTGCTTCTTCCATGTGTGCTTTGTTGCTTCTCAGCTAGATGGCCACTTGTTTATCTTCAAGTCTTTAAGACCCCAGGTGCTATATCTTTTGATAGCCGGGCACCATCAGATAAAGCTCTTTCTTATACACACATGAGTGTCTATGAATTTGTTTTTCTAGTCAACCCTAACACATTAATAAATTCACATCCTAAAATATTCAAATACCTGTATTTCTATGAGCTATGTTCCCACCCCTGATTTTTTCCTTTTCAGTTCTGTTATGTGGTAGAATTTAGTTATTTTCTTAATCACATCACCAGACAAAACAGGATTGGCAAAGGGGAGGAGGTGCTGTTCCTTATGAAGATCCATGATATTGTGTTTATTCCTGAAGGTCAGAGATCTTCGTGCTCTTTTGCATCATAGGGTAGCCTGGAGCATTGCTTTGATCTTTTATGACTTTCCTTGTTTCCAGTAGCAGACACCGGTTCTCCACTGTCTATAATTTAAATATTTTACGAAAGTTGGACATGCAGTTTTCTTCTTTCTTGCCTTGGGGTTTGTTTTTGTGTTGTTTCCACTCATTTCCCTGGAAGTGTGCAGCATGTCATTTATTGAAAGTAGATTACATAACACTACGGGCTGGGACTCTAGATATTGGAAATGCAGAAGAGAAGACTGGGCTTGGATAAGAATCAATAGAGGAAACGCTGCATATTTATATATCGGACATGAATGGAGCATTCTCTACCCGCACACAACCTTCAGAAACAGCGCACGGGAAGGCAAACATCAAGAACAGTTTCTGCACAAGAATCTGTATCCGTAATTTTCAAAGCTAGAACCCCAGACAAACAGCGTTAGCGTTATGAATTAGGTGCTTTTTAGAAATGCAAATTCTGGCCTACCATCTGTACTCATTTCCTTTGCATCCTTGCTGAATCACAGGACACCTGCAGGCCAGAGTAGCCCGGCTCCAGGGAGTCCACGGCCACAGTCTTGGCAGCAGCCGTCTGCCAGGCTTTCTCCTGTGGAGCTGAGCTAGCGGGCTGAACTACCACGTCAGTTTCTAAAGCCAGAAATGCTGCGTATTGGCACACCAATCTAAATTTTTACAAGCCTCGGATGTTTGTCATAGATCAAATTTGAAAACCACTGCTCTGGAAACATTGAAACTTGTGAATGAGTAAAGTACATTGATACTCAGAGGACATTTGTCTGTCGGGTAGTCATAGTTTGGTGGCTTGTATGTTGCATGATGCCCTAAGTTATGCCACGGGTATTTCAAGTTGCATGGGGGCAAGCACATTTCCGCAGAGCTTCCAGACTACGAACAAATAATGAAGAAAACAGTGCCAGCTCACTTCGGAGGAAGCTGACATTGAAAACCTTACCTTCAGAACATTGTCAGATACTGAAGACCTAATGAATGGAAGCGGAGCTTTGTCAGAGTGGCGCCAAAAGATGGGGACCTCAGGTCGGAGGGTCCTGGAAATGTGGCAGAAGAGGAGCTGATTTCGCAGAGTGGAGTCAACCAGGGTGACATGAATCCAGTAAAGGTTGTGAGAGTAGAATCTTCTGGATCTTTATTATCTGCTGGGCCATGATTTAAGGGGAGGAGAAAAAGCTTTAAAATTGTGAATAAAATAATGAAAGTAAAAAATAATGAAAATATTCTAATGAATGAGATATAATCAATGTCCCTGAATTATACATATAGGAGTTGTTGAATTGGATAATGTTTTGTATATATTTTTGCCATAATTTTAAAAATACAATAATAACAATAAGCACAAAGAAGAATAAATTGTTCTAAAATTGATTGTTATAATGATGGCACAACTATTCATGATATGATTGAACTATTGATTATGATATGATATGTGGAAGAAGGACCAATACAACTTTAAAATCTGCTAATGATTGGAACTTGGAATGTGCAAAGTATGAATCTAAAAAGATTAGAAGTCATCCAAAATGAAATGGAACACATAAAGATCAATATCTTAGGCATTTGAGAGCTGAAATGGTCTGGCACTGGGTATTTTAAGTCAGAAAATCACATTGTTTACTATGCTGGTAATAATAAAATCAAGTGAAATGATCATTGCATTCACTGTCAGAAAGAACATTGTTAAATTAATCTTGAAGTGCAACACTGTCTGTGACAGGATTGTATCTACCCATCTTCAAGGAAATACAATCAATACAATTTTTAAAATGTATGCACCAACCACAAACACTGGTGAAGAATTCTACCAATGACCTCAATTGGAAATAGATCAAATTGACAATCAAGTTGCATAGATAATTATTGGTCATTGGAATGCAAAAGTTGGAAACAAAAAGGAACGAATAGCAGTTGGAAAATATGGAGTTGGTGAAAGAAATGAATTTGGTGATTACTTGATAGAATTTTGCAAGATCAACAACATGTTCATAGCAAATACCTTTTTTTCAACAACAAAAAAGGTAACTGTGCATATGGACTTCCCCAGATGTAACACATGTAAATCAAATTGACTATACCTGTGGTAAAAAAAATGATGGAAAAGTTCAATATTAGCAGCTAAAACCAGGCCAGGGGCTGACCGTGGAGCAAACCATCAATTTCTCATTTGTAAGTTCAGATTAAAGATGAAGAAATTTGAAACAAGTTGAGGAGAGCCAAAATATGATCTTGAGTTTATCCCACATGAACATCCTAAAAATAGATTTGCTGCATTGAACATTAATGATAGAAGGCCTAATGAGCGGTAGGAAGACATCAAGAACATCATTCATAAAGAAAGCCCAAGGTAATTTAAAAGACAGGAAAGAAAGAAAAGACCAAAATGGATGACAGAAGAGATTGAAACTTGCTCTTAATCACAGAGTAGCTGAAGCAAATGGAAGATATGATGACATCAAAGAACTGAATCAAAAATATGAAAGGGCAGCCTGATAAAACAAAGAAAATATCATAACGAAATGTGTAAAGATCTCGAGTTAGAAAATAAAAAGTGAAGACACGTTCAGTGGATCGTAAGCTAGAAGAACTCAAGAAAAAAATTCAGGCTCAAGTTGCAAATTTGGAAGGTTCTGTGGGCAAAATACTGAAGGATGCAGGTAGCATAAACAAAAGATGGAAAGAGACAGAAAGAACACAGAGTCACTGTACCAATAGAAGGCGTCAACAGTCCTGCATTTCAGGAAGTAGCACATTCGTGAGCATTGCTGAAGGAAGAAGCCCACGCCGCACTGGATGCAGTAGCCAAAAAGAAGAGTCCAGGAATTGACGGATACCAACTGAAATATGTCACAAAGTTGTTGAAGCACTGGAAGCACTTACTCATCTATACCACGAAATTTGGAAGACAGCTATTTAGCCAACTGACTGGAATAGATCCATATGTGCACTAATTCCAAAGGAATGTGAAACAACAGAATGCTCCAACTATAGAGCACTATCACTGATATCACACGCCAGAAAATTTTTTTTGAAGATCATCCAACAACGTTTGAGGCGATACATTGACAGGGAGCTGCCAGAGTTTGAGGCTGGGATCAGAAGAGGATGTGTCACAGCAATGCTATCTTGCTGTCAGATAGATCTTGACTGAAAGCAGAAAATAACAGAAAGAGATTTATTGGTGTTTCATTGACTATGCCAGGGCATTTGAATGGATCATAACGATCTCTGGATAGCCTTGAGAAGAATGGGAATTGCAGAACCCTTCATTGTGCTATTGCGGGACTTCTACACGGATCAAGAAGCAGTTGTGCAAACAAAACACAGGAATACGGCAGAGCTTAAAATCAGGAAAGCTGTGCGTCAAGGCTGTATCCTCTCACTACACTTGATCAATGTGTGTGCAGAGCAAATCAGCAGAGAAGTTGCATTACATGAAGAAGAATGTGGCATCAGGATTGGAGGAAGATTTATTAACAACCTGTGATTTTCAGATGATACAACCTTGCGTGTTGAAAGAGGGGAGAATTTGAAGCACTTGCTGATGAAGATCAAGGATTGTAGCCTTCAGTACGGATTACAACTCAATGTAAAGAAGACCAAAATCTTCACAACAAGACCAATAATCAACATCATGGTAAATGGAGGAAAAAATTGACATTATCCAAGATTTTGTTATTTGGACCTATAATCAATGTTCAAGGAAACAGCAGTCAGGAGATCAAAAGATGAGTTGCATTAGGTAAATCTGATACATAAGACCTCTTTAGAATATTGAAGAACGAGGATATTATCTGGAGGAATAAAGTACGCCTTCCCAAGCCGTGGTATTTTCAATTGTCTCATGTGCATGTGAAAGTTGGCTATTGCATATAGGAGACTGAAGAATGGGTGCATTTGAATTGTGGGGCTAGAGAAGAATATTGAAAGCACCATGCACTGCTGCACCATGCACTGCTGCAAGGATGGACTGATCTCTCTTGGAAGAAGTGAGGCCAGAGTGCTCTTTAGAGGCAAGGACAGCAAGACTTGGTCTCACAGACTTTGGACATGTTGTCAGGGAAGACCAGTCCCTGGGAAGCACATCGTGCTTGGTAAAGAGAAGGGGCAGCCAAAAAAGTGGAAGACGCTCAGCGAGATGAATTGCCACAGTGTCTGCAACATAGCGATGCAGACACAGGATTCATTGTGAGAATGGAGCAGGTCTGGGCAGTGTCTCACTCCATTATGCATGGGGTCCCTGTGAGTCGGAACAACCTGATGGCACCTAAGAAAAACCAAACCAATACGAGCAACAACATGCATAGAGTTGCATATACAGGTACACCTGTGTGGTGTAAATGGCTAAGTGCTCAACTCCTAATAAAAATGTTGGCAGTTCATGCCCACTCAGAAATGCTTTAGAATAAATATTCGGCAATTTATTCCCAATCAAAAGGTCATATAACCTGGAAAAGCTAAGAGAGTGTAATTCTACCTTGCAACATATGGGGTCACTATGAGTCAGAATTGGCCCAACAGCCATGGGTTCAAATCTTGGGTTGGAAATACAAATATAAGTCAGGTAATAGCATGACCCTTGTCCTCAAGGCAGTCATGGTGTAGTGGAGTCCGTCAACCTATACGTGCTAAACATTCTGGCAGGCCTGGCGAGGAGATTTTGAGAAGCGGAAAGCCAAGCACATAACCTCTAGAGATTACAATGGAGTTGTATGAGGCTCGTCAAGACCTATCGGTGGTCTTCAAATAGTTCCTGGAAAAATTACTTTATCTTTAAATCCCATTTGTTCAGTAGCTTCTTATAATTCCCACATATATGTGAAATGAGGAACAAAGCAGATTAACACACACATATCCCAACAAGAGTAAATATTTTAACATTTTAAAGAGTGATAAAATAATATTTTTGAAAGATATTGTGAATCATTTCATTCTAATACTGTTATTTTTTTTCTTTCTACAATAAAAGCATTGGCATTATTTTGCTGTTGAGGAGTACTGTCTTTTAGCTAAATGGATTTTTTTGGCCCATTGTGTTTTAAATATTATTAAGAAAGTTTACAGCTGACCAAAGGTGAACTGTGCATTTAATGAGAGTAATCAATAATATTTCTTTTTTAATAGTTGAAAGAAGAAGAAGGTATAATATTAATTACCGAATCAAGGAGCTTGGCACTCTTATTCCAAGGTCTAATGATCCGTGAGTTCAATAATCATTTCTATAATAATGTTATGATTTCGATACTCCCCAAAACGGGTGGGAGGGAAGAGAGGAGGGGAGAAATCAATGACTAGGAAACTAAGCGGTGTGACAAAGATGACGACTGCTAGTCTCGTAAAAAAACCATTCCAGGCATCAAGGCTGTTAGTGAGGGTTGTCCTTTGAGCTGCAGGAAATAGGTTAACCCTTCCTTATTTCAGAGGGTCTTTTTGTGAAAATAATCTTGGCAGATTTAGTGAGAATGCTGAATACTAGCTGGCGGTTGTGCCGGGGGGCGGGGGGGAGGGGGGTGCTTCAAAAAGTTTATGGATAATAGACTAGAAAGATAATGGAAAGTTTTTACAAAGTTTCTGAAGTTTATGTTATGTCTATGATACTGACAGAGCTAATGATTTTTTTGATTACAGCAATTCTTCTGATGTATGATTTATGTTCGTGAAAATTCAAATGGATTATTTTCAGAGAATCCAAAATTGAGGATACATGAAAGTGAAAAACACGAATAGTGAAAACATGCTGATTGATGTCATCTAAATAATCAATTATTGTCCATCAATTTGCAACTAGGTTTTGATGTCGTCAGACATATGCTCAGTTAAACCATTTGTTATAGAGTGGAAGTCTCAGGAATATTTGATTCAGTAAAGTATCCTCAGATCTATTGACTGTTTTTTGGAAAACATAAAACATGATCTGTATCATTAATAATTATTTGAAAAAAAATTATTCAAACTGACAACTGGCATCTCCAAATAGTGGCAGTTATTTAGACCCTGTATTTCACAAAGTGGTATTTGCAAGGTCTGAAGAGGTTTTTCCCCTTAAATCCAAATATGCTAATTCACTAGGGAAATTCAAGAATCATGAGAAGAGAAGGTAGTATTTATCTTCATGAAGGTACAGGCCATCCTAAATGGGCTACTTAAGAGGGCTGTTCCTACATGTCTCTTTAAGCATATGTATGTAAGTGGGAACGGGCACACATGGATCTTATTTTATTGCAGGAAGAGGCCTGAGAGGTGAAGTGGTTAAAGTGCTCAACTGTTAACCAAAACATCAGTAGTTCAAAGCCACCAGTAGGTCCACAGACAAAGAGGCACCAGTCTGCTTGTGTTAAGATTCACAGCCTTAGTCATCCTATGGGGCACTTTCACTCTGTCCTACAGGGTTGCTTTGAGTCCAAAATAGCTAGAAAACAATGCATGTGCATCTGTGTGCGTGTTTACATGTGTCTGTGGTATGTTTGTGTGTGTTAGTGCAAGGAAAGGGTCAAATCTTTCCAGTGATATAAAAGCTTCACATGAAGCAAGTAAAGGTGCTTGTGATGAAAACCTTGTTGCAAGCAGCAGTTGGTTCAGTCGTTGCAAAATGAGGGTAAATGACCTACTGTTCCAGGGCTAAGTAGGAGCTGTCCCTAAGTCAGACTTTGTAAACCTGGGCTTGTCTGTGATGGTGAAGGCAACGGAAGTGATATGGCAGGAAGTGCACTGAGCAGGTAGTCTGAAGAGCTTGATCACGGTGGAGGATCTGTCTAAAAATCCTCGAGTATTTTAAAGTCTTGAACACAGATATCTTTGTTAGCTGAAATGGTTAGGTTATCTGTCATTTCGATGTGAGATGTTTAAAAAAAATAGGATAAAATATATGTGAAAATGATTTGCAAATGATAAAGCTTGTGTGAGATTTTTCTTAAATTTTTATAGAAAGCTATATTATCTAAAGACTCCTTTCAAGTTGTAATTCATTATTTAGGCCAAAAGACGACAAACTTTTCTTGGAGAGACATGTAATACGTATTGTAAGCAATGAGGGCCATATAGTCTCTGTCATGATTATTAACTCTGTTCTAATAAAACCGCACTGACAAAGGCGGATAGATAGCAGGTCCTACTTGGCTTGTGAGTTGTAGTTTATCAGCCCTTCATCTAGAATTTGAAAAATAAATTTATTTCAGAATCATATTTGAAAGGGACTCAATTGAAAAAACATCACAGAAACATTCTGCATGGCCTTGTCCCCTTTATAGATCTAGGAAAATAGGATTATAATAATTTTTAAAAACCCACAATTTCCTATTTAGTCAACTCACATTTATTGTAGCTCTGGTGCAGTGATAAAAAACGGCCAGTGATCCCCAAGGTCAGAAGTTTGAAACCAACAGCAACTCTTGCTGAAGAAAAGTGGGGCTTTCTACTCAGGTAAAGAGTTACAGTCTCAGAAACTCACAGGCTCAGTTCTACCCTGCAGTCAGCTTGGTTTGGGAGTTAGCTTAGATATTGACTGTGTCTATGTGTCAAAAATGCAAAAACCACACTCATTTGCATGGCGTTGGTGCCGACTCATAGTGACTGTATACGACAGAAAAGGACTGCCCCTGAGTTTCTGAGAGGGGGACTCTGTGGGAGTCGAAAACCCTCTTTTCCTCCCGATGGATGATCAGCTGGTGGTTTTGAACTGACCTTGCAGTTAGCTGTTGTTTAACGTATAACAATAGCAGCACCAGGAATCCTTATGTTTATTAGGCGTGTGTCCAAATAACACAAGTAGAGAAGATACAACTCTGGTGTGGCATCACACATACCTCACTGCCGAGGGTCTAACAACATTATCTTTAACCATTGGCTTGCTGTGGCCTCAGGAGTTACTCCTGTGTTCGTCCAAAGGGTCTCACAATGAGATTCCCTGGATCCAGACTCAGAGGTCCATGGGTTTGGGCTGAATCCAGAATCTTAACGTGAACGGTATTAAGAAGTGGGGATCTAGACCCATGGGTCTCAGAAGTAGCCACCTACTCTGTAAATAATTTAAGTGCTTTAGAAAATGAGTAAAAGCTAAAGAAGCTTTCATTTTTATGATGGAGAAGTTAATTGGGAAATGTCATTAACATGTTTACACAAAGTTGAAGATGATCAAAATTCATAATTTAGGGGAAAAAAAGGCCAAATGCACACACCCAAAATCTCAAGGCAGATTGAAGTTTGGAGTGAACACAGTTCAGATTACTTTGTGGAGCAGATTCCAGCTCATGGGGAGAAGGCAGCTAGGACTGTTCAAATGATTCTGAACCATTCTTTTTTAATGTTTAGTTTATGGAATCGTGTCGCACAGTGTTTTTAAAAAAATTTCTGTCGATCGTATTGTTAATGGATGGTAGGCGATATCTCTTTGCCTGGTGGTGGTTTTGCGAATTCAAACAGGGCGTTTTTAAGTGATGAAGGAAGACTAGCATTGATAAAACCAGAGTATTACAAGGAGGGAAGACCGTGGCATAACACCTTTCGGAGGTGCTGCTGCAGTTATATCTATTAAGAGTGTACTGCAGCACGGTATAAAACATAGTCTCTTACAGTGGAATTCATTTCTAAGGAAGGGAATCCAGGCTTGTAGAAACAGCGCTAGTCAACTCTTCTAACCCCTTAATACTGCAAGCTCTAGGGCAATAAACACACTCACTGCCACCGAGTTGATTCCTACTCAGGGAGACCCTGTAGGGCAGGGCAGAACTGCGCCCTGGGAAGTCTCACCTTTCTTCCTCAGAGAGGCTCCTGGTTTCTAACTGCTGACCTTGTGTTAGCAGTTGGGCTCCTAAGTGCAATTGGAACCCACTAGTTGCTCTGCGGGTGAAAGGTGAAACTTCTGCTCCCCGAAAGATTTACAGCCTCAGACTCCCTGGGGAAAAGTTCGACTCTGCCCCACGGCTTGTGGTGAGTCAGAATCCACTTGATGGCGGGTGTTTCTGCCATGGATTTGTTTTTAATGGAGGGGCTGACATCTGCAGACTTCCCAGCTCATGATTAGAAGAAACTTTGGAGTTGTTTTTAGGATATCAAAGCTCGCATCCAAAGATATTTTGAATTATGTGAAGTTGTCATTTTTCATGTTTCAAAAAGCTTCCTCGGTTTCTGTCTCTTTTAAAAGCAAATTGGTGACTTCGGAAGGGAACCAGCAGAGAGAATAGCTGCGGTTGACTAGCGTGGGTGAGAAAAGTACAAGACAGAGCAGGCTACCCCAAACCAAAACCAAACACATTGCCGTCAAGTGGATTCTGACTGATAGTGACCCTATAGGACAGAGTAGAATGCAGAGCTACCTTTGTGGGCTTCTGAAGGAAATGACAATCTTTTCAACACTGACACCAAACCAGGGAAAACTAACAAGCCGTCCGAGAAAAATGAAGAGCTCCCCAGAAGTGTGGTAGGTTTCCACTTCAGTCCTCTTGGATTTTGGAGAACCATATTTATAAAAATATAAACATATTCTATAAAATATAACAATATCATATTAATAGAAATAAAAGCTATCAGTAGAATATGGGTCATTCTGCTGATGCTATCAAATTACTCTTGCTTTCTCTCATTTTTGAATGTACAAGATAGTTTACATTTCTTTCTTTTTCACCCCTGTGCAGTGAGAACTGCGTTTGCGTAAGAAAGGCAGTTGAGATAGTGAGAGAGCGCTAACAAGACATTGGATCCTGAATCAGGAGACATAAAATGTTGCTCAAGCAACAAAGCAAGTGGCTCGGCCTCCCATCGTGTTGTATTTCTTATCCTTCCCTCGCCACCCCCCTTTAGTTTCCTTTTCTTTATCTTTTTTTAACTGGGATGTACGCCCCATAGATGTAAAATGATTGTACATTTTGCCATGTTTTGCCTGGTGTCTCATATCACAATGCATATATTTATATAACCTGCTTTGACCTCAGATGAACAAAAGCTTTTAACTTTCAAAATGTTTGAAGTTTTCCCAAGAAAGTTGTTTTGCAGAAAACAAAATATCAGTGCCACCAATCATTCCTGAGTCATTTTTAAAACTGTGTGTATGAACCTAGAGAATTGACAAGGCATTTTCCAAACTGACCTAGACACTGACACTTTCTTGTGTATTTCAGTAGAAATCAGGTTGTCCAGGCCTTTCGAATATTTTCATCTGGCAGTAGAAAAAGATGTCTTTCCTTAATTTGCCCCCATGAATGGTCCTTTCACCTAACCTAAACTTCTGAGGCATTTAAAAATCAGATCTTTCATAAGCTGAATTTTCCTCCTTTGATCCCTTAGTAAGCATATCAAGTTCAATATATGTCACCTCAATGTGTTCAAACTAAAAACATATACAGTATGATGTGTTTTAAAACATTTTCCAACATGTTTTCTTTATTCAGTATTTAAAAATATTCCATGAGCTCACACTGAAAGTTCATCACGGCGTTCCCACTGCTCTGATTAATATTTTGACAATGAGTTTTTCCTCATTCACCATTACATATTACAGATTAATGTAATCTATTTTAGTTTTAAAGATTAAAATCAGTAGCATATTCTGTAATCACAGATCTATCATTTCTCCAAAGCAAAAACAATTTTTAATAAAATATTTTCTAGTCTATAGTCCAAAAGCTTGTCCAGCAATGTTTAATTGTATTTATCTTTTGGGAATTAATTTTTTCAAAATGACCTAACTTTTAAAAAAAACATTTATTTATTTATTTGTCTCAAATGGTTTTAGAAAGTTTTGCTTTCTTGTAGGGAGTCATGCTACTAACCAGTGATTTGTTTCACGATCACTCAGGATCACCCTTCAAGAGGGACCTTATTTTTTTTCCCCCTTAGAAGCATAAAAGCAACTGTATTAGAAAGTAGGTTAAAAGATTGGTACATTTGAAATGATCTTTAAAAATTTAGGTTTAAGTCCTCAGTAATGTACATTTCTTAGTTCATTAATGTGGAAATACTGCACATAGATTTTAATCTGGGAGTTAATAATAAAAGCAATTTTCACTAAAAATATAAAAACTGTAATGGTAGAATCATGATATTGCATTTAGCTCTCCCACAAAAAGTCACTTTATTACTTTCTTTTGACACTTATTTTCATTCTGGGATTAATTTTACTATATAAGGGCTTCTTAACTATTCTATTAAAATTTCTATTCAGAAGCAATAATATCTAAGAGTGAATAATAGTCATGTAAATCATTATTTCATATTAATGTAAAAGATTTGGTAAGTTCTTATGAGTTCTGCTGACACGCACAATTGTGAAAAGGTTATCTCCCGTTCTGCAGTGATATGCGCTGGAACAAAGGCACCATTCTGAAAGCATCAGTGGAGTACATCAAGTGGCTGCAAAAGGAACAACAAAGAGCCCGAGAATTAGAACACAGACAGAAGAAATTAGAGCAGGCGAACAGGCAGCTTCTTCTCCGGATTCAGGTTTCTATAATCATGTTGCCATGTACCGTGTAGCTTACCTATGACTCACCTGTCATTCGTTTATTCACTGTCCTCACTGGTTTTTGCCGGATTCACCCTTGTTTCCCCTCCGGATGGACCATTTTGATTGCCTTGGACTAGTTCCGAAATTGGATTGTTTCCATTCGGTTCTGGCTAGCACTCCAGGATCAAGGTGGCTTTTTTCAAAAGAAAGAAAATGAATGACAACTAATTATAAGATGAAGAAAATAGAGCTCATCTCAAATATACATCCAGCCAAAAAAATAATGTGAAGTAGAACATTTGTTTCTGCAGATAATATTGGACACTAAATTCTCCTCTCCCTTTTTATTTCTTTAGTAACATTGCTATGGATTTTATTGCCTCAAGGCTTTTTGTGCCAGTTTATATTAAGTCACTCCTCATCTGTTCATGTGACTCAAAATATCAAAATATGGGTTTTCATAACTCTTAAGGTTTTCTTTTAATGCGAGCATAATTATTGCCAGGTAAGGCACTTACTATCTTTCCATGAAATAGTACTGAATTGTAATGAGAAATTAATCAGAAAGAATAAGTGGGAGATTTTCCCACTGTCTTCTAATGGCTTTATTGTGTGCTGAGGCACTATGGGACCATTATGTATTGTACAATTCCCTCAAAGAACAATAAGAGGAGAATTTCTTTAAAAGCTTAGGATTTTTCTCAGCATTATTTTTCAGGTATTACCAACACACCCGTGTCCATTATTTGCAAAATTATTTAGAATCTCTAGTAGTCTTCATCCATAACTTGATTCTATTATGATTTATTCTTTAGTGTTCCTTCACTTCCCCAATCCTGAGTTACTTATTCTTGTATTTGTTTGACCTTGCAGGAACTTGAAATACAGGCACATGCACACGGTTTGCCCACCCTGGCTTCTTTTGACCCCCTGGACGTTGGTGCTCACGTCACCAAACAACAGTCCCGTCCTGAGCAGAATTCAGTAGACTATTGCCAACAACTGACTCCATCTCCGAGACCCACCACTCAGCGCTGTGATCAAGCGCTGGCCTTCTCGGATCCATTATCCCACTTCACGGACTTATCATTCAGCGCCGCGTTGAAAGAGGAGCAAAGATGGAATGTCATGTTACTGGATGACACGTTCTCTCCATTTGGTACAGATCCTCTGCTATCTGCCGCGTCCCCGGCCGTTTCCAAAGAGAGCAGTAGAAGAAGCAGTTTTAGCTCTGATGATGGGGATGAGTTATAAAGAAATAAACGGATTCTCAAGCCATCAACTGGGAAGCAAGTCTATGCTGGTGCTATGCAATCGTATTCTGTGTTGGCTATACACCTTTGGTGTAGTAATTGTGAAAGGAACATGTTGTCCATTAAAAAAAATGGATTCATTAAAAGCCACAGAAAAATTCCTAAGAAATATGAGAATGAAGACTTACTGAGAAATAACAAGGAGCTTTTCCTCTTTGGCTACCATGTCCCAATGTATTTAACGTTTGTCTTGCTGGAAAGAATACAGTGTGAAAAATTGCTACGTTTTGATGTCTTCAGAGTAGAAACTTGTTGATGTCCACAGGCATCAACCATGAAAAGCCTAAATACGGCCATCGCTATCTTCTTTAACGTCTAACTCTTACAAGATCAGTTTTATTTTCATTTTTTTTAAGAATCAAAATCAATCTAGTGATTCATTATATCTCTTTACCATGTGGTGGACATGTTGCCTAAAAGTTCAAGTTTAATAGAGGAAATAATTTTTTAGTAGCTTATATGTTACACATGAAAATTGAATATACATTAGGAAAACAGAAATGAAAGTTGGAGAGTTACGAACATTTTCAAGGGAACAAAATTTAGCCTTTCTTTTAAAGATATAAACAGAATAATATGGAGGACTTACAGGGAAATAATATGAACCAACTGATAAAAGGCAGTTTGAACTTAGCGAGGGTTCTTGATGGGATATTCACTAGAAATACATGAGAAACATCTATCAAGGAGTTTGGAAAATTATATTGGCCACAGGTTGTTCAGGCAGTTTGTTGCTAGGAGAGACAAAGCTTCATATTATAATTATACTACAGGTTACTGATTTGACAACCTTTCATGTAGATTAAACTTGGGGATAAATTAATGGAAAGAAGGTATACCTACTACTCACTTGGAAAGTATGTCATTTCCAGAAAAGTTTGATGACAAAGTGGGAAAATATTAAAACCTTATGGTATGATTGATACAGATCTGGAAAAATGCCCCAAAGAACACAGCCATTGCAAACTCTATAAAGGTCGGTTCTAGTCTGAAACATGGGGTCCCCATAAGTCAAAATTGACTGGACAGCAACTGGGTTTTGGTTTGAGCTTACATCTCAGAATTAAAATGATTTTCACTGCTTGACATGAGGAAAAAAGTTCTTAGTTTCTCGGACAGTCATTGAAGATAGACAGATGCATTTCCGTGAAAGATTAACGACACAAAGCGGTGCTCCAAAATCAGAGAAATGTTTATTTAGCAAACGTTTCAAATTGTGATGCTATTTTTTCTCGGCATATCCTTTATCTATGTCTACTCATGTCTAAAAGCAGTGTTTCGGTCTCTCTAACCCTTCCCCCGAAGAATTCGGCACTCTTTAATCTAAACCATTGTTCTCAAGTTTTGGCAACCTTGAGGAATTCAAACAGCTGTTAAAATGTTGGTTTTGAGTTTGGGGGAAAAAAAAGTAGTCTGAAGGGGCAAGACAGGTGCTAAAGGTTGTTGTGGTAAGGGACCCCCCCTATACAACCCCCCCCCCAAATGATCATAGGACCACCCTTGCTACTCTTGAGGAACAGGCAGATGAGTTGTTCAGTGCAACTTTCTTACTTTTGTCTAATTGATACAGCGTTTAGCGTGCTTCACATTTCTTTCTAATAGGCCCCCACGATCTTTGGGTGTCCTTCGAGAAAATCTATCAAGATTACCCTTTTGCGATCCCCCAAGTAGATGCCATCACCTCCTGAGCTGACCTCTCCACACTGAATTTGTCTTTGAGTTTTCCAACCTTCCCTGAAAGGTTTTATCTACCTAAAAGCTATTCTTCTAAGTGGAGCAGCCGTCCTGTAAACTTTTGCAAAGCTTCAATGATTTTGGAAGATCTCCATTTGCGTTTTGTTAAAAATTGGCTATTAGCTCTGACTTCAAAATCATTTTATCCATGGGACAAAAAAAAATCCTTTTTTTTTTTGGATATGTGAGACTAAGACAAGCGTATGACTACGAGTCCCTACCTCCAGTCGTCCCCTGACTGCCAGGACATGTTTAAACACATTTTGTTTGGAATAAACTCACTCACTTATAAACTGGAATCGTAGTCCCCATACTTACTGACTTACCTTCTATCCCTGAGAAGGGACACAATAGGATACTTTCTGAGTGTCTTTAAAAGGATATTCATGCTATATGTATCTTTTTCTTTATTTAATGATTTCATTTTGTGACATGAGGTGATTGTGGAATAGTGAAAATTATCAAGAAGGAATAGATCTGTTTACTGGGTCCATGAACAACCTGGAAGTCTAGCTAGAAGCAGATTTTCAGAGAAGGCTTCCCCCGGGGATAGTGTCCTTACTGCTGCATCCTTTTTCCTTCTGTTCAAGTACTAGTCCATAGCATGGATACCTTCTCCGTATCAGCTGGTCCACATAAAGGCTAGATACTTGACACGAGAAGGGTGAACTCTAACCAAGAGTCCTCTTGAGGGGGCACTAATGTTTGCTACTACTTTGGGATGTTGATCGTTGTGGGACCATTTTAAAATAGTTCACCGATTTGTAAAGTCATCCAAGAGTGGTACAGCGTCCCAGACAATGAAATAGACTAAACAAGTCACTGGCAGCGCACCTTGAATCCCTTAAGACTCAGGTCAAAGTCATACATAGACCCTCTCCTCAGAAGAGTACAGCATCATCAATAGGGACACATATTTCCATACGTCCGTAAAGTTTCAGAGCCCTCCTTGGGTCCCAGGTGAAGAAATCCTGCTTCAAATCTGTTCCTTCGACTAGCAGGTATGTTTCTATCTAGAGACACATGCATAATCAGTGTCATCTGTGGTGATGGGGGACAAGAACCGGACTGAGGAAGAAATCCTAGTCATCTGAATATCATTATCTCATCCCCATAGTGACGAAGCTGCACTGGAAAGCAAAATTCTAACAAGAGGCTAATCGCTAAGAAAGTGGTTACGTCGGACAGGGCAAGATATGACAAAATACCCATTTATAAACTATCAAGGGCTCATGCGGGAGGGGGGAGCGGGGAGGGAGGGGAAAAATGA